GATGGTTGACGCCTACATGAGCATGTCTTTCTGCTCCTGATTCAGTGTAGCAGGGGGGAGCAGGGCGTGCTGTTGTACCACAGAGCAGATGTCCTGTGGACATCTCACCTCCAGCAAGGTCTACGAAGAATCAGGTAACGGTCCCACCCCATGCTGCCTCTTTTCCTCCTGCGGTCACGAACTGAGGCCCCGGGAATAATTCCGAATGCTAGTGTGTCATCAGGGAACAGAATGGACACACCTGTCTGCTTTCAACTCTGTCCAAGTCTTGTCTTCCGGGTGCCGTGGGTCTCAGGGTCAGAGTAGCACGGAAGCCAAGTGTGAGCCGCTGGGGGCGAGTCGGGCTCCTGTGTGAGAATGTCTGTCTCCCCTGCCTGGCAACGCCTGGCTTCACTCTGGAAGGTCTGCCCGCTTTGTGGTCACCCTCTGGCCTCTGCTCTCTTGATGAACGGAGGTGGTCGGGAGGGAGCCGGCAGGGGGCCAAGCCGCATTATGTAATTGGAGTAGTATGGACAAATGGTCTAGTACGCATCTTGAGTGACTTTGTCCTAGAAAATAAGCTAAATGCTTATTTGTCTACATTACTCCTTCCGACTTCATAACAACCCTTTGAGATGGAAACGCTTGTTATCACCACTGAACAGATCGGGAAATAGCCTTGGGAGCTTTCAAGGAACATCCCCAAAGGTAAGGATCAGTCCACTTCCCGTGAGTGTCCACCGCCAGAGGGGGAGCCCTGGTCACCCCAGCGGTCACCTGGGTGAGCGAGGCCTTGGTGCAGGGGCGTCAGGACCCACCAGTAACCCTCCGAGCCTGACCCTTCTCAGGTGATGAGAAGGAAGGAAGTCTAGCGGCGGCATCAGGCGGTGATGCTGGTCTGCGTGAATGTTGTAGACTAGTCCTGGAGAGCTGCAACCGGACTCTCAAGTCCTCATTCCTCGTAGGCTGCTGCCGGGAAAGGTGTCGTGCTTCCCGGGAAGGCGGGGCTTGCCCAGGTCCTCGGCCTCCCTGCTGGGACCAGACGGTGGAGGGGGCAGGGAGGGGTTGCTGTTCTGCCGGCTCGGCTTTTATTTGTTATTTATCATGTCTCGTTCCTTCTTCGTGAAAAGAAGTTCTCGCATTGTTCTTAGATTTGGGGCAACAAATCTTTTTTGCCTCAACTTAGGTTTTTTAGGTTTTAGTATGAAGAGTATGTGTGTGTGTGTGTGTGTGTGTGTGTGTAAGAATCACTCCTCTAGCCCTGGCCAGTTTGGCTCAGAGGTTGGAGCGTGGGCCTGCGGACCAGAGAGTCCTGGGTTCGGTTCCTGCTAGGAGCACGAACCAAAAAAAAAAAAAAAAGAATCCCTCCTCTAATAAGTTAACAAGTATGATTGTTGGAATAAAGAGAGGCGAACAGTGTAGACCCTGGGCGTAGCAGGGAGGAAGGCGAGAACACCGGGTGGAGAGAAGGCCCTGAGGTTCCTGGTCAGTGAACCCACATCCCGGGAAAATCCGCGGCAGATCTGGGGGAAGAATGTCAGCGACCGTTCCTTCTGGCTTTTCCCCTTTGCCTCGGGCTAAGGAGAGACGGGAGTCTTGGAACAGAAATGCCGAGGCCGAGGTGGTGACAGTCCATGGTGACACACGTTGCTTCACATGGTGTTTGTGGCTGCCTCACGCAGTCCCGCATGTCAGCTCTTCACAGCCCCGGCTGGGAACAGGAGGGAGCCTAGGGGTGGGCCTGGTTAGCCCCTCATTTCACAGATAGAAATACTGACAGAAGGTTCACGGGCAGAGCCATGGTCCTACGGCTGGCTAGCGTCAGGACCACATTCCAGTGCCTCAGGTTCTCGTCCAGTGTGACTCCATAACCTTGGGCTCCAGTGGGCAGAGCGACGGCGAGGGGTCCGGGACCCCGGGATTTACTTAACATGTATCGGTGTGCACAGCACTTGCTCCTCAACTAGAACGGCAGCATTCTCTCTAACACACATGGCAACGAAGCTCGTTACTGCACGTTGCGTGCAGATGATTTGGGGGAGGAAGTTCCATCTCTCTGGAATAAAAACTATTACTGTCGGTAAGAGTGTTAAAAGACTTATGTTTTTAATTAAAATTTAAGTGCTGTCTGGTTCGATCTATGCCCCCCTGTGTGGGGGACTGTGTGCGCTCAGAGGGCTACGCAGGCCATCACCCTCCATGAGAGGACATCGCTGGGGGTGTTGAGGACTTGCTGCTTCTTGCTTCCTCCTTCACTTACAAATAAGCTGGTTATCGACAGGTCTCTGTAAATCTGTGGAAGAATGTTCTTAGACTTGGAAATATCTCATTTTGGGTGGAGGCAGAGGCTTCCAGAGGTTGGCAAGATGCCCATTATTGTAATGACCACCCGCACACCCTCCTCGAGTCCCCAGAGTCACCCCCCTCCCCCAGTCAGTTCCTCGACACACGCTGCTTCTGCCGTGTCTCCTTCCCGGAGTCTTATTTTTGTTCAGCTACGACACCTTCCTGGAGAAGATTACAAGACGACTTGGGCCTGGATGAACCGCAGGTTAAGCAAACTCAGTGTTTGCCCAGAGGTGGGACGTCCAGGTAGAAAACGATCGTCAACTGGGCGTTTTCGTTGTCACTGGAGGTGTGTCATGGACTGTGCTCTGAGGAGTCCGGTATCCCAGAGATGTCGAAGGTGTTCTGCCCCTGGCAGGTCTGCCTTCACGTGCACCGGGGAAGCGAAGGTCACGCAAGGTCAGGTCAGCGTGGACCAGGAGGACAGTGTGGCATGCTGTGTTTTTCTCAAACTTAGTGAATTACGGATACCTTTTTTTTTTTTTTAAAGTCTCACCCATGACCAGACTTTAAGAACTCGGTCTGGGAAAAGCTACTGAGTGTGGATACACCTTATCAGCAAACTGCCTTTCAGAGTCTAACGCCCAAAACGTATTTGGGTGGGGAGGTAGGAAAGGAGGCAGGAAGGGGATTGCGTGTGTGTGGAGGGAAGGTGTCAGGGGAAGACTGGAAAGAGAACAGGAGCCAGGCTCTGAACACTGCACCGATGTGGCGAGTGGGGAGGAGACAGTGGTGCGTGGACGCTGAGGACGATCACGGCTGCGGCAACGCGGAGCCCCCGAGGGGCAGGCGCGTGAACCGTGCGGATGCTCGTTGCGCAGGGTTCACTCAAAGACTGGGAGCTCTGGGTGTTATTGAAATAAATCTTTTGTCAAATGACTCTATGTCGACATAATAACGATGCACACATGAAAGAAATACATAGCCAGTGATTTCAGGAAAGAAAGAAAAAAGATCACGTTGGAGAACAAGAATTTTTATCGGAAGCGATAGAAAGGACGAGCAGGGAGATGAGGTCTAACTCTGTTTTAGACGTACAGGGAGACCGTGTATCTCAGGACAGGTTTGGGCATGGCTCGCTTAACGTCAGCTTGCCTGAGTAAGTGGGGGTGTGGGGGAGACTAGAATGTGGGTGCAGAAACTGCTCTTTGCTATTGAGGAGTCGCTCAAAGGCAGATGGAGCTGCCGGTTATAGACAGCCGAGGGCGTGGCACCACACACTCCGGGATTGTGTCCTGCCCACAGAGCCATGGGTGTAGTTGTCGCAAGGACATCGTAGAGAACACAGGGGCGAGATCTGCTCCCTGGAATGTGATCTGGCCAAAGAAAGGAGGCCCTGTTCTTCGGGAGGGCCCACTACACTCAGCAGACGAGATCTAGCGGAGGCTCGGGTAAGATGAATGAAGCCAGTCCCGGGACCCGGGAGCGCATCTGGGCAGAAGGGTGTCAGCAGCCTGGAAACACAGCTGAGGGCGACTCTGGACCCCAGATGGTTGGTGAAGAGTTGCTGACACTGCCTGTTTTAGTTTCTAGAGGTGAGGGGAGGCCTCATCCTGACAGTTTTGGGAGCTGAAGAAGGAAAGTCAGCCTGGGGAGAGGAGGGAAGCACGGCTTGGGAAGCCACAAGCTGGGCCACTCAGCGAGCTCCAGGCTTGTCTTTAGCAAGGTTACTCTGACACCACCGGGTCTTCATCTACGGCCGGGTGGATGCAGTGACCCCTTCTCTGGGGCACCTCCCTGGATGCTCTCAGGGAGATTTTGGGGGCGTGAGGGTGGGGCACAGACCTGTAGTGACATCCTGGCTTTCGTGGGAGTTCAGCTGGATTTGTCTCCTGTCTCAGTGGTTGCTAGCTCTTTGAGATTCAGGGTCATGCAGTCAGAATTCATGACTGTCACTGGCCCAACTCTCACAATGTGCCAAACGCTAAAACAAAACAACAACAAGAAGTCGGCGTTACCATCGCCACTTTACAGATCGCAAAACTGGAGTTCTGGGGGGTCAGACGGCTACCCTAGTCCTGCGAGCTGGTACGTGGAGGGGCTGGAGCCAGACCCAGAACCCCTGGCTCTCAATCCCACGCGCCTTCACCTGGACCCGCGGTTCTCAACTAGGGAACGGCGAGAGCTTTTCCAACAGGCAACACCTGACTACGTCAGGGCACTGACCTCTTTCCCTCAGCTTGTCAAATAAAAATGACAACAGCCAACACAACACAATAGCCATCCGGTGTGAATGAATCAAAATCACCTGTATTTTTTTTTTTTGGTCCAATTGGCAAAAAAATAGAATATATGTTTTTGGTGCGCCGCAGAATTTTAATAATTAGCTTATGTGCCGGGAGATGAATGGATTCCTTTCATCCGGGCTCTCAGCTGGACGTCTGCACATGTTCGCGTTAAAGCGCAGGCAGGGCTGGGAACGCTGGTCCTTTGTCACGTGGGCTTGTCTGCACTGTTATCCCTGGCACAGGGGTCAAGACCTCTGTACGGATCATGTCAGGGGGTGTTTGTGGCCAGAGGGAAGAGCAGGAACTGATGTCATTAGAAGTTATAAAGTATCCCCCTCGAGGCTGAAATGGAACATTTGCTGTTTATTCGAGGTGAATGATAGTTAAGAATCGGAGGGCCACTGTTCCTTACACGCTCAGAGATGTTTCCCCAACCTCCCATTGCAGGTGGCGTGGTCCTCAACCCCATCTATTACGGGATGCCTGGCCATACCAACACCATGATCCACGAGGTGGGGCATGTCCTGGGACTCTACCATGTCTTCAAAGGGGTCAGTGAAAGAGAATCCTGCGATGACCCCTGCAGGGAGACAGTGGCCTCCATGGACACAGGAGACCTCTGTGCAGACACTGCCCCCACTCCCAAGAGCAAGCTGTGCCAGGACCCGGAGCCTACCAATGACACCTGCGGCTTTACCCACTTCCCAGGGGCTCCATACAACAACTACATGAGCTATACAGGTATGGCGAGGGCAGTTTGGGGCTGGAAGGGCGGACCTGCAGCTGGGGGAGAGGACTATGGGGCAGTGTTCATGCCCGAGAGTAAAAGCATATTTATTACGGCTTATTCTTCCCTCCATGTCTGTGCAGAACTTAATAAAACACTGAGAGAGTAATGGTCTTATTGACTAGATTCTCCTTCACCAGAGAGTAAAAGAAAAAGACACATTTACGTTGGACATTTGAATAGAAGGACAAAACCAAAAGGTTTCTTGAGATGCCCTTGACCCCGACAACTTGTTTTTTCTTGTTCTTGCCCACATTCATAGGCATTTGCTCTGGATGAGTCTAATAGTGATGGGGGAGGGGGTTTCTGGGTCAAGGTGGCCCTTTCTACTATTTTTAAAGTCAGTCAAGAAAATGGCCTTGGTTAATTTAAAGCCCAGGATTTCTTTTCATTTTATGTTATTTTAAAGTATCAGATTCTCTTCTTCCAACTAGTGCTGACTCTTAGCTTGCGTCCCCTCCCCCAAATGGCACCACCTCCTTTAAGGAATGGTCCTGTCCTGGCCTTGGGAACAACTATATTATCTTGTCCTGGATTATGTTTCACCCTTGTCCCCTGACACCTTCCTCATTTCTGGCCAAAAGTAATACTACTCACAGTCTCCTGATAATGGACTCAAATTGATCATTTATTCCTAACATTGAGGATGGGTTGGGTTTAATGACCTACTCCAGTGGTGAAGGAAGGAGGCAATTTTCTATAAGGTCCAGGGGCTTGTTTGGTGGTAAGTTCTAGAACTATTCAAAAATAAATAAATCAACCCTAGGACCCTGGTCATGCCTTTGAAGGGAAGAAGGGGTGGTGAGCTGGTCCTGTCTGTCACCGATCAATAAATTCGTACCCAAGTCTCATTTTGGTGTGTCATTCAGGTGTATCACATTCCTACGGACCAGCATCCCCTCCTCCCCCATCAAGGTCATGGTGGGTCTAGCCAGGGCAGAGCCACTGGGCAGCGGGCTGCAGAGGGCTGAGTGTTCAAGTCCCTCCTTTGAAGTGGGTACAGGAAGCATCTGGCCAGTGTGGCTCGGTTGCGTGGGCGTCATCCTGTGCACCAAAGGGTTGCTGGTTCCATTTCTGATCAGGGCACCTGCCCCGGTTGTGGGCTTGATCCCGGTGGGGGGCATGTGAGAGGCAGTGTTGTATTCTCACATCAATGTTTCTCTATCACTCTCCCTCTCCCTTCCTCTCTCTCTCAAAATCAATACAAATATCTTTTTAAGCAGCAGCAGTACCGGGAGTGTTTGACTGGTGTGCTCTTGTTGGAAAAGGTCCTGAAACTAAGATACTCCCTTTCTAATGTGATAAAAGATGTATCTCCAAAGTGAGGTGGGGACCTCAGTTCCAGTCCCGCTGCCTCCTTGACATTTTGGCTCTGTCTCCCTTTGAGCATCTCCACTGGGTACCCCTAACCTTGGCCAGAGTCACTGGGCATAAAACCGGGGTCCACAACTCCACAGATGTTCCTGAATAAACCGGCCGTAGGCTGAAACACTGCCACCTTGTGGCTTCGGGTGAGCAGCCCTCAGCTCAGAGCCGCCCCGACCCCTGGGCTCACCTGGCCCAGCCCTGCCCTCAAGGTTATGGCTGGGTTTGGAGATCAGCCAGTGCTAGTCTCTGTCTTCTCTTTCCCATTTTCAGCGTAGATACTTTCTGACTAGAATGCATTTATTCATTCGACAGGTGTTTATGGAGCCTAACAAATGCGAGGCGTTGTGTTAGGTGCTGGTGACTCAGGCGTGAACAAGGCAGAATTTGTCCCGGCCGTGGTGGTGGACTTGGCAGGCTAACACCTCCCTCTCTCCTGTTCTCATCTTTGTCTCCACAGATGATGACTGCACAGACCACTTCACCCCTAACCAAGTGGCGCGAATGCATTGCTATTTGGACCTTGTGTATCAGCAGTGGAGTCAAAGCCAAAAGCCCACCCCCATTCCCATCCCACCCATGGTCATCGGGCAGACCAACAAGTCACTCACCATCCACTGGCTGCCTCCGGTCAGCGGAGTCATGTATGACAGGTGAGAGGAGCCCCTGCCAGGGCTGAGCTGACCTCTTCCCCCCGTGGCATTTCTTCTGCACAAGGGGAAGGATGTGAAGTCAGGGGAACCCCAGCTGTGAACACGAGCCACCGCCGAGGGCTGCCTCCACCCCGCTCAGTCCTCTGCGTACGTAGCAGAACCGTGGGCTCTCCTGGGAGCCAGCGCCTCCTCACCCGAGCTCACTCCTTGGCGGGGGGCCTGTCCGATGTATCCTGAGAAGTGTCACCTCCGGCAGGCTTCCAGTAGCTGTGAAGAGGTTGACCAGTATGACACAGGTGCACTGACCAAGCTGGGATGGCATTTGCCACCTGGCCAGCTCAGCCCTTGTCCTTGGCGGAAGGGCGGGCAGAGGCTTGCTCCCTGCACGGTGGTGCTGGGGGGGAGGGCAGTGTTCTTCCAGTCACTTCTGGGGGCGGTGGGTGTCAGGCTACCCACTGTCACAAGCTGTGCCTCGGGGCTTATCTGGCTTATGTGAGCGTTTTCAGTGCCCTCTCTGCCTCCTGGCGTACCTGGCACCTGCCCCGCCTATGGCTACCACCCCCCGTGGAGTTGTCATCATCTACCTGTCCCTCTCCACTGGCAGCTCCTTGGGGGCAGGGGCATCTATTTTTTGCATCATCGTCTCCTGCACCATAAACACCTAATACATGTCTATTGGAGAGAAACATTATATCTAAAATTAGCCTTATTCATCCTTTGCATGTCAGTGTAAGTGAACACCAGAGAAATCTTTGTCAAGGGAGAGAAGGCAGGAAAAGATGACAGCTGACCGTTGGTGGGGGAGGGGGATGTGCTTTCACGAGAAGGACCAGGACCCCATCCATGACCCTCTCGGGCCCTCCGCTTCCCAAACCTGCCGCCCTGTTCGAAGTAACGGGAGCGGCTGAGGCCTGCCTGGTCCTGCGTGAGGGGCGCTGTGCCAGGCATCATTCCTGCAGTTCCCTGCTGGGTCCTCGCAGTAGGCACGCGCCTGCGCTGTCGGTGAGACTTCTGGGGCACAGAGGAGCACACCGGGCCGTTGGGGACATCCAGTGGGACTTCAGAAATGAGCAACATGGACATTATTTTTTTTCACTCGGAGCTTTCCCATGTCCAGGTAGACACCCCTCTTTTCTGCACACACTTCCCCTTGGGGTTCAGGCCCCAGCGAAGGAGCTGGGGGGCCCTGGAGCATGTTTCTGTGTACCCCAGCTTTCCTGAGAGCTGGGGGAGGGGCCAGGAGGCAGGGGGGGAGGGAGCAAGTGAATCTTTTTCCAAGCTGGAATGCCATCCTTCTGGGATCTTGCCACTTGTCCTTGATACCTTGATGACATCGCTTGAGCATCACAATTTTATAAAGCACTTTTTAAAAATCCTCACCTGAGAATATGTTTTTGTTTTTGTTTTTTAATTGATTTTTAGAGAGAGGGAAACATTGATTAGTTAGTTGCCTCCTGTACGTGCCCTGACCGGGAATCAAACCCGCGACCTTTCTGGTGTTTGGGACCAGCTGAGCCACCCGCCAGGGCCCGTAAGGCACTTTGAGTGTCATGGCACCCCAGCCCCGGCGCCCTCTGCGTCCACGCTCATCCGTGTGACGTGGGTAAGAACCCGCTTCAGGGAGCGGTCAGCAGTCCCCGCGGGCGTGTGCGGAGCGGTTGCACACCCCTTTACGCCGCACGTGTAAACAGTTCAGTCTTGCAGTTCCCTCGGGAACAGACGCTGCGGTAAAGCGGACGCCCCGCTGGCTCCCTGCCAGGCTCCCTCCTTCCAGCTGCGGGCGCGGGGAGGCCTCCCCACACGTGTCTGGGGAGACGCACGTCACCCACCCAGCGATGTGTGTCACGCTGGGGCTGTGCGTACTCCTCCCCCGTAGGTCCTGGAGCCCGGTGTCAGCCCCACCCCCGCTCGGCGCTCCGGGAGGGGCGGTTGGCGCTGTGTCCACAGCCCGCGTGGCCCGCAGCAGAGGCCGGCCGCCACCAAAGTGCTGGACACTTGGTGGTGTTCGGGGACTTGCTCCCAGGAATTGAGGAACTTGTTGTGACCTTAGGCAATTTATGTAATCTCTCTGAGCCTGCGTCCTCATTTGTAAACGTAGACGTCTTACTGGGATTAGCAAGAATTCATGAAAAGCCCCTCTTGGCAACATGCCAGGTATCTGAGGGGCTGGTAGCATCATTCTTCAACAATACTAGTTTTCTAGTATAGGATCACATATTACTTCCCCCCTACCTGTCCAGAGCCCCCTTTTCCATGTGTGGTTCACAGCTGGGCTTCCAAAAAGATTCAAAGTATCAGAAAGGAGCTGCACCGGTGTCCTTGGTTATTTAGTTATTGTTGTTCGCTTTTCCCAGTTACCCCGTGTGGTGTTGAAGAGTTCTTCCCAGGCTGTGAATAAACCCGCCCCACCCCCCGGAGGGACAGCAGGGGCCAGGCCCTGTGCCGACGGATGGGCATAGAAAGAACAGAGTCCCGTCTGGACTGCTCAGAGGCAAAGGAGTTGGAATGAGGATGGGAGTTTTCAGTACCCAGAGGGATGCCCTCAGACAGAGGCAGAGGTGCAGGAGGTACCCAGAGGAGAGAGTGCAGGCCCCGGAGAGGAGTCAGACTAAGTGCCTGCCAAGGCTACACTTGAATGGGCCTTGACGGGTATGTAGGAATTTGCTAAACACAGAGGCTTGAGAAGGCTATTTGGCAGGAGAGAGAACAACATGTTTCACGGAGCTGTGTAAGGGTATGATGAGTTCATCGTGATGGGGACATAAAACTTAGGAAGGAGCTCTCTTACGAAGGACCTTGGACCATGCATGGTAAGGAATTCAGCTGTAGCTCCATGGGTGATAGAGAGCCCAGGGGCATCACATTTCATAGGACTTTTATTTCCTGTACGTGATTTAAAGTAGGGAGTTTAAAACGTAAGTCCACATATAGTGAAAAAGTTTACTCTAAAAATTGGTGTCACCAGACCGGCGTGGCTCAGTTGGTGGGGCATTGTCCCATGTACTGCCAGGTTGTCGGTTCAGTTCCTGGGCAGGGACCTGCTGGGTGTGGGCTCAATCCCACGAGGGGCGTGCAGGAGGCAGCTGGTCAGTATTTTGCTTGCTCTCTCTCCTTTCCTCTCTCTCTAAAAATCAACTTAAACAAATCTTTATAAATTGGCCTTGTTTTAGCTGGGGAATGCAAGGGGTCTTGGGATGACCTAGTGAGAGTCAACGCAGGAGTTTTATGCTGGAAAATTTAAACATGGTTCTTTGGTGTTGAACCTTAGGACATAGTTAAATTCTTCGGCTTTTTAACCTTGCGATTTCTCACGTCACTGAATTTTCCAAAGACGAGGTTCCTACAAGAAGGAAATGAGATGAGAAATACTTGTGTTCCCCGTTACCCCCTAAGACCTCACACCCCAAAAGGTCTTCTGAATCTCCTTCTCCAAGTCCTCTGATGGACCCCCCTTGGTCTTCCCAGGACCACGGGCAGCATGTGCGGTGCATGCGCGGAGGACGGGACGCTCCGCCAGTACGTGCATAAGGCTTCCTCCCGGCGCGTGTGTGACTCCTCGGGCTACTGGACTCCAGAGGAAGCAGTGGGTAAGGGCCGTGGCTTTTTCATTTAACCTTGGTGGTTGCTGAGAATGGGGTGGAGGTGGAGGATGGAGAGGCAGCACGCAGGTGAGTGTGGTGTGTGTGTGATCTGCTGGGAAACACCCCGTCTGGTACCTCTGTGCGCTGGATGTCCCACGCCTGGTCCAGGTGGAGGGAGGCCCAGTGGCTGTGTGAGGCAGGGGTCAGCACAGAGGACAGAGGGTGATGTCAGCTGAAGCCGGAGGGGTGCAGTGTCTCGGTGCTCAGGGAGCAGCCTTGCCCCGGGACAGCACAGGCCGGCCTGTCACCCCTCCATCAGGAGAGTGATGGAGAGCAGCCGGAGAGAACACTCACACCCTGGCCCAGCCGGTCCGGGTGGGTGTGTACACGAGGTTCCAAACAGAGCATTCCCGTTTCTGCCGTTTTATGAGCCTATTAATCGCCGGGACTGGTTGTGCTTTGGCTATGATCTCAGCTGGGCCGGAGGGGGGGAGTGTTCATAGCTGTCCCTCTTCCCGTCTCTCCCCCAACTTCTCAGTCACATGCTCACTCTCACGCCCCTCGGACCCGCGGAGCGTGCGTGCCATCCCAGAAAGTGCTGTCACGGGCGCAGCGCCTTCTGACCGCTGGCTTCCCTCTGCCGGCCTCCCCCTCCTGTGTTCACCCCCATTAGCCCCGTTCTCTTTTCCTGACGTTTAGTAAGACCCTGAAAACTTCTCAGCGAGCTGCATCGGACATGATCCCATTTGAGTGAGTTTACAGCCTTGACTTCGACAAGACAACAGTGGAGAACTCTGGTCTGATAGTGTCCAGTGTCCAGCAGCTGCCCTGGACTCCCTCGTACTCACGTGACAGCAGCCTCAGGGAGAAACCTGGGGGGAGACTGTGTCCTCGATGGATCGTATAGGACTCCTTTCAACTGGGAATCTTCGGGGCAGAATGGAAAGTTACTGTGATTTACATCGGCCTTGCGCCGGACTCGTTTAGAGACCGGCATTTCGTAAAAGGCCAGTGCTGTGCAGACAGTTTGTCCTGTGCTGGTGTTTTAACACCCACGGGACATCCTGGCCCTGCAGTCTTCTTGCTTTTAGTCTCAGAACAATTTAAAAGGAGTGAGAAGTTCTGGGTTGGGATTCTCATTTTGTGTCTTGAGGCAAACCAAGTCGACCCTTAGGGCCTTCGCATCATGTTCGAACATGAGAGCGTAATCAAACGTTCTAACAGGCCGCACCGCCTCGGGGTTCGCTCGCAAAGGCCTGTACTCTGTGGTATTTGGGATGACTATCGGAGAATACTGCTAAGAAATACTGGTCTTCCTCTGCTTTGAAAAGGTGGAGAACCAAGTCATAGAAATATACGCAGTGGAAGTCACCGAATCCCCAGAAGAGCACAAACAGATCTTTACAGACATGCTCAAAATGTGTTTCATGACCCCGAGCAAACACTCATTCACCACCGACTACTTTCTAAATGCTACGGGGGATAGAAAACTGAGCCAGACACATTCCCGGCCTGTATGCTGTCCTCTTCTACCTCTGTCTCGCTGCACCCGTCACCCTATCGTAAGATATATGAGGGCAACACCTTCATCTCTCTTGTTCCATATTCTGCCTCCGGTACCTGGCTCACGGCCGGGTGTGAACGAGGTATGCAGTGCATTTTTGTTGAATGAAAGAATCAATGAATGGATTCACAAGACAGGCAAAAAATAGTGAGGACCGTAAGATGAACTACACACACACACACGGAACAATACACACACGTACGTTTGAACATGTTTCTGCTGGGTTTTGGAACACTGCTTATTTTCCAAATTCTGAAGGGCTAAATAATTCTGCTTTTGCAAATGGAGTTTGCGCAGGTTTCTCTGGAACGTTGTATAAGCCTTCCCTGTGAACCAGTAAAACGGCAGGGGCTAAACGGTGCTTTTATAGGTGAGGACTCCAGGGTGAAGGAGACCCGCCGCAGCCACGGCCGAAGGGCCGGCAGCGAGAAGCCCCGCGCTGCTCCCTCCCCGTTCAGCCCTTGTCCTGCAGATCCCCTCACCTGATGTGAGAGAAAACGGCCTGGCGTAGCTGCTTCCACAGGGCCGACCTTGATGTGTTTGCAAGACTCCACTACCTCTTGGCCTGGCTGCGGGATCTCCGTGGCTTCACACTCAGGAATAAGGATGTAGGAGTCCAGGGGAGCCCGGTTACACAGCGCGGTGTCCAACGGAAATGGACATCGGCCTCACTGACGAATAAAACAGGGGTCGGAGCGTTCATTTATCTCAAAGTATTAACAAACTAAGTGCAAATAACTCTCCTCTGCTCGGGGAATCTTTAAGGACGTGACTTAACTTCTCTGCCTCGGCCTCAGGCTCCCACCTGGGGTCTGGGTGGGGCCCCCCAGTGCCCTGCTGAGCTCTCTTGCCAAAAGGCACCAAGTAGAGGTCACGGAGCAAGATGCAGGACTTGCGATGGTTCCGTCTTTGTTCTCGGAGCACTTGAGACCTAGCCCACTAAGCTGACCAGCTCCTGCAGGAATTGGTCCAGAGTTCTCTTCTTTCTGGCTGCTGACATGGGCTCCGCCCACGCAGGCCTGTAATGGCCTTTCCTGATGTCTCCGTCTTTCTGTTCCCCTCCCTCAGGGCCCCCAGACGTGGACCAGCCCTGTGAGCCCAGCTTGCAGGCCTGGAGCCCCGAGCTCCACCTGTACCACATGAACATGACCGTCCCCTGCCCCGAGGAAGGCTGCAGCCTGGAGCTGCTCTTCCAGCACCCGGTCCACGCCGACACCCTCACGCTCTGGGTCACCTACCTCTCCATGGACTCCTCCCAGGCGCTCGTCGACACAGAGATCTTGCTGGAAAACCAGAAGTCTGTGCACCTGGGCCCCCTGGACACTTTCTGTGACATCCCTCTCACCATCAAACTGCACGTCGATGGGAAGGTCGTGGGGGTGAAGGTCTACACCTTCGATGAGCGGATGGAGATCGACGCTGCTCTGCTGACCTCTCGGCCCCACAGCCCCCTGTGCTCGGGCTGCGTGCCTGTGAGGTACCAGGTTCTCCGGGAGCCCCCCTTTGCCGGCGGCTCATCCGTCGTGGTGTCGCATCCCCACAGGAAGTTCACGGACACGTGAGTTGGGAAGGAGGGCTTTCTAAACCATGGTGCCTCTTGGGGTTTGGGGAGCGGATTTGGCTTTCTTTCCCCCCTCTTTTCTGCACACCGGCATATCCTTAGTTGGAGAGAGACTCGGCGTCTCAGAGGGGGTTTTATTCTACACTGGCATACCTTAGATGAAGGACAGTATTTCCCAGAAAGGGACAAGCAGGTGTTCTGACGGATGAGGCCATCAGGATGACGGTGGACAAGAGGTTAGTGTGAGGGGTGTTGCAGTCGGACTGAACGTAATTACCACACATAGGCTGGTCAGCGTCAGGCGGCCCCATCTGGTGTCGCCACTGAACTTCCGATCCTTGGCTGAAACTTTCAGGTCGTCTGCGGAGCTCCTATGACACTCAGAGGGTACTGGCAACCCGTCCACAGCTTAGCCAAGAAGCCAGCGGTCCTGAGGCGCTTTGAGGAGTCCTGACCCACCCCGATGTGTTTCATGCTTTCTCTTTTTCTTGTTCCTTCTCTTTCCTTCTCTCCCAGCTCCCTTCTTTCTCTCTTCTGTTCTTTCTGCATCTCGTGAGTTCTCCTGTGCCCTGGCACTGGGTGCCCAGTGCCGGAGATGAGGACTGAGATAAGGTCATTGGCTTAGAGGAGTTAAGTGTCTAGAGTGGAGGGGCTTGTATCGCCAAAGACAAATTCTCTCGAACCTCACAATTTCCCCCAGACTCCGCCCTGACCACAGAACTTGGGGTAAAACAAAAGTCCCATCAGAGGTGCGATGCTGGTTATTTTGACGCCTTAGAAGTCATCACGGAATGCAGTGGGTTAAAACAACAGACAATATTTCTCATGGTTCTGTGGTTGGCTGGGTGTCCTCCTTGGGACTGGCTTGGCTGGGGCTAGATGGCCCGGGATGACCTCAGGCACACACGGGAGGCTCGGCGGAGGCGGCTGGCGCATCTAAGGCCTCCTTCCACACCCTCCCTCACTCTCCAGTGGGCTTCTCAGGGCTTGTTGTCCTGGGGTGAAGAGGTCTCCAGCAGCAGGGAGGGCGGCGTGCCCCCAGACACTCACACTCTTCAAGCCTCTGCTTATGTCACTCACGATAACCTTCTAGCAGCCAAAGCAAAGTCACAGCCAATTTCAGGTTCAAGGCGAGGCAGGCGTCACCTTGCCTGTCAGTGACAGGAGCAGCAGAGTCACGTGGCCGAGGGGCCGTGGGTGGGAGGAGTCTGCCCTCGGGGTCTACCCCAGCTGCAAACAGGGGAGAATGTTCACCTCGCGCTTTACTGCGTTTCCCCTCCCCTGTTCGCTCCCCAAATTAGACCCAGAAGACAGTGACGTGTTCAAAAAGCTAATGCCAATGGGCGGACAGATCATGGGATGCATTTTTTAAAATATATCATTTTTGAGCTTGTCTAATTGGGCGGTTGAAATGATACGGATGACCTAACTCGCTATCTGCACACAGACATACACACCCCACCTTTAAGGTCAGCAGCATCCCGTGCGGTAGATGAGAAGACTCAGCTGAACTTGAATGTGGCTGAGCAGAGCTAGTTCGCGGCTGCCGCAGGACTGCATCCAGTTTTCTGAGTGTCATTTGGGTTGCCTTCCCTTGGTAACCGACTGCCTTTTACCAGCTCGGATCATAGAAGGTGGGGCTCCCTGCTGCTAGTGTCCCTCTCCCCCACCAGGAAGTGGGAACACGGGCTGACACTTCCTGCCCATCCTCTGTAGCCCCAGGACAGCGGAAGACGTACGCGTGTCTGGACAAGTCCGGCAGAAACCTTCCTGTAAGGGAGGCCATCAGACTTGATCAGGACATAAACTTGGTTTTGCTTTTGAAATGCCTGGCACTCAGGCAAAGATCGCTTCCCCAGGGACAGATAACTCAGAAGCGTAAAAGTCTTTAATATTTAGGCGTCTTTGCTATTAAAATAACTAAAAGCCAGCACAAAGGTTTTTAAAGGTGTTTAAAAAACTTTTTTTCCCTCTTTATTGATTTTAGAGAGAGAGGAAAGGAGAGAGAGAGAGAGAAACATGGAGGAGAGAGAACATCGACTGGCCGCCTCCTGCATGCTCCCCACTGGGGGTTTGGCTCACAACCTGGGCATGTGCCCTGACCAGGAATTGAACTGGTGACCTCTTGGTGCATGGGTCGATGCTCAACCACTGAGACACCCTAGCTGGGCTGAAAGGTGCTTTTGAATCCCTGTGACATTTGCTGTCTGGTGGTGGCCACATCAACGGGAGAGTGGAGCTTGGTGGTTGAGTTGAAGAGTCTGGTCAAGAAGAGAAGGTCTTGGCAGATTTACGGTGCCCACTCATGGCTGTCCCAGCAACCCCTAGAGATCCTGTTCGCCAAAGTCACTCTCATGCCTCCTGGACTTTGGCCATAGTTTTCCAGGGCAGACACCGAACACAATTTAGATGAGGGGAGAATTTGTCTTAGCAACCAGCAGCACCCCCGTTGAGCCTCTGTCCCTTCTCAGTGTCCTATCCCCCATGCTCTCCACCCGATCAGTGCACCTGGACTCCAGAGACAGTCTGGTAAACTCCCATCTCTGCAGTCAACCAGTAAAACCACGCCTGGTGTGTGTGCATTTTGACAGGGCTGGGGGTGGGGAGTAATCGAACACACTTCTAATTGTGGAATTTCTTGCATCCCCAAAATGAGGACGGAAGGTGTTCTCACCTAGGAGACAGTGCTCTTTCCCCGATGGATCCAGTCTCCCCAAAACAAGAATTTCCTTGAGAGACAAAAACAAACAAACGAGCAAACATGGAGAATCTACAGAGTCACCCAGGGCCTCACCGAGCCCAGACTCTGAAATTTCATCTTCATTTTCTTTGATTACTTTTGATTACTTTGCAAACACACGACTCTTTCAATAGGTGGTGGTTTTCTTTAACACGGTACAGATACCCTGGAAATACCACCCTCCCGGGCTTTGTAGGATTGTTAGTTCGGTGCTGATTCAACCACCGCTGACTGCGTCCTCGCCGTGTGCACTGCCCTGGGAAAGCAGACTGGTCGTGCTTTTGAACACCTGCTGCTGTGGGAGCCTGCGGGCCCCGGTCTTCGTTTCAGAAAACGTGGCATATGTGGGACATTATCTTCCCCGCCGAATTTCTCTGAAACTTCCGCAAACTTTCCGGATGTGGTTGTCACGGCCCGTTGGTTTCCACAGGGAGGTGGCACCTGGGCAGGTGTATCAGTACCAAGTTCAAGCTATCGCTGGAGCAGAACTGGGAGAAGCCTCGCCGCCTCTGAGCCACGTCCACGGAGCCCCTTACTGTGGAGACGGGGAGGTGGCCAGGTGAGGACTGTGTGCGTGTGAGTGCCCGGACCCCTGCCCTGCTCTGACCGGGGCTCAGCCTTGAGTTTCTGTTTTACTGGTTTGGGAAAAGCAAGCGGCAGGGCGCTCTAGAACCTGGCTGAGATCTTGCGGGGTCACTCACATGTCTGCATAGATAAGGAGGGACCCACTTTTATTTAGATCTCACCCCAGAACTGAAATATTGGGGCTGATTCGGGGGGCAGTGGATGGGTAGCTTTTAAGGTTTCAGAGCACAGCTGTGGTTCAGGGAAGGGATCCAGGGGGAAAAGGTTCCTTGTCAAGTGATGCTACAAGAGGGTGTGAGGATATCGTCTGGGTCAGTGGCCTGTCCCACACTGTTGACCATCTGTGTGATGGGAGGAAGGTCAGCGTAGCTTGCTGAGCTTGCGCGTTGGCCCCGGAAGACCTGACTGAATGTAGCCCGGAGCTATTCTATGCAATCACCCAGGTAAAGACGGAATCCCCCTTTGGTTTCTTAACGTGCCACGTTCCAGTATCTGTTGTCCTTTGGCGATAACCAACCCAGGGGACTAATTCAGTCTAGCTTGCCTGGAACTTTCCCAAACTGAGCACAGAAGACTCCTGTGTCCCGGCGGCCACCCTATGTTAACCTGTCCCGGGTGCTGCTTGAACCCCACCTGTCACTTACGTAAGCTGCTGGAGTAGGAGGCTATGGTTTGTCTTAGATTCTGCATGCTAAGAACTTGGACTATTTTTAATCCCCTAGACCAGGTGGAAATATATTGTATCTTGAAGCCCTAATAGCAAGCACTTCTATAGCCTTTCCTGGACTCCCACCCCATCATTTAGCAATCACTAAACACTGTTTATCTTCTCCGTCTTCTGAGATCCTTAAGCGTGAGTGCAAGCCTATTCTTTTTCATAGGAGTATAAACACCAAGTGTTCCCAGACCTCAGTCATACATGGAGGTGACTGAGGTTACTTGAATACCCAAACCTCGCGAGTCGGCTGCCAGCTTCTAAATCAGTCTCTGCGCATTGCCTCCCCTCCCCCACCTCCATACACCGGCTCCCCGGGAGAGCCTCACAGGTGCACAGAATGAGTCCGGCTGTTGTTGTCCCTGCTGCCCCCCAATTCAGGTGTCTGGGGGGCTTGGTCCCCACTGCTGCCCAGGCGGAACGCTCCTTGAACAAAACACTCTGTCCTGTGTGGTAGCTTCTCCCGCAGCTGGCCCCTGAGGGGGGCTGCCTTGAAGTCCCACGATGCCACATCTGCCTGGGCGTCTGGGCAAAAGGAGGGAGGGGCCCCTCCTCTCCCGCACCGGGCACTGCACATTCCCTCCAAACAGCTCCATCGGATCAGGGCCTGCCTGGCCGCTGGCCTCCGAGGCTCCTTATCAAGAGATGCCGTTAGCTCCCCGCCGTGTTGCCCGTGGAAAGGGTCACGCTGGGACCTGCCCTGCAGTGGGGGGATGTCTCTGGGTTGCTGCTGTGTCTCGCTGCCGGCACCTGCTTACACCTAAACCAAGCAGAGTTTTAAGAAGTTGAAATGCTGGCAGAGAAAGAGAAACCCCGTTTCCTGTATGTGCGTATGTGTCTGTTCACCTCCCAGGGACCTGGGAGAGGAGTGTGACGACGGAGACCTGCTGAGCGGGGACGGCTGCTCACGGACCTGCAGCCTGGAGAAAGGCTTCAAGTGCGCAGGTGAGCTCGGGGGCCCGGCGCAGGCTCGGTCCTGTTTCGGAGGTATCCCCGTCTCTTGTTTTTGTGAGCTCTTGATATCCTGTAACACATAAATTAATGATGACGGTGATAACCACATGTGACGTGTCTGTTGTGTGCTAATTGTTTCACATACGGTATCTCATTTAATTCCCTACTCCACGTATGGGGACACTGAATGGAGGCATAGACACCCTGGACCCCCGCTTTCTCTGATCCGCCTAGACGTCAGGATTTGAGCCAGGAAGTATGGCTCTGGAAGCCACATGTTGAACCACTCGGTCATGTTGCCTTCTAGACTAATGTCAGCAAGGATTTCTCTTGGGTCCTCATGTCTAATATCAATCTCCGCTGAGTAGCCCAGTCACGTGGGCTCTACATAAAAATAGGGTCAGAGATCATTCTCAGCCCAAAGGAGCACTGTGATTCACAGGTAAGATCATGGAGAAGGAATGACCACAGTTCATCACATGTCTTCGTCTTGGGGAACCACTGGTAGTGAGTGACACCGAGGTGGCATTGACGGCAGACTCCTGCCACTCGAAGAGGCCGCCCAGCTACTCCTCCCGCCCCTGGTTAAACCTGTCCTCAGCAGTAGACTGTTTCCCCATCCCCAGCTGCGCACATGGCGGTGCTTCTGTGGAGCATAACCCCTCAGCAAAGTTATTTTAATCAGCAGTGCATTTAAAATGATTTTATTTATTTATTTACTTTTTATCCTCACCTGAGGACACTTTTCCATTTCTTGTTCAGATAGAGAGGGAGAGAGAGAGAAGAAGAGAGGAAGAGAGAAACATCGACGTGAAAGGGACACATCGAGTGACTGCCACCCGCACAACCCAACCAGGGCCGGGGACAAACTGCAACCGAGGTACATGCCCTTAGCAGGAACCGAACCCAGGTCTCTTGGGACCGCAGGCCGACGCTCTAACTGCTGAGCCAAACCGGCCAGGGCTAAAACGATTTTAATGTCTCTAAATCTCAAGATAAAGTAGGCACAGTTACCGTGATGTAGAACGTATTAAAGTGCTGAGTTCTGCATGGAGCACACAAACACCCCCGCTCGCTAGAGCAGAATCATAAAATCACGGAATCCTAGTAGTCTTCCATCATCCGACAAATACATCCGCTGCGCCTGAGCACCACGAGTCGGAGAGACATCTGCTCCCTGCTGCAGACGAGCCAGCGAGCCAAGGTCCAGCTTCCTTCTGCGGCCCCGGGAGACGGCCCCTCCTGTGTAGGGCCTGCTGCCGTGCTCCTAGCAATAATGACGGCACCTTGACACAGGCCATTCTGTTTATAAACGGCGTCATCTGTCAGAAAATTCTCCTCTCCTTTCTGGTCTGGAAACTGAGGCTCAGAGCGTTTCAACATCACAGCCTTACAGCGAGCTCTCTGCAGAGGCGGGCCCGGAACGCGGCTGTTTCAGTGCTTAATCAAGTGCTTTTCTCTTGCGGGGAAACTACAGAGGGTCATTCTTTTCCCTGTTTGATTTGACTGCCATTCAGATGTTTGAAATGCCTCCCCATTATTCTCCTTTCCAATCCAAACATCCCCTCATGTGATTCGGTTTCCGACCCTTTCCCATTGCCCCTGACCGGCTCCATGTGGTCAGTGCCCCGAGAGGAATTCAGTACTCCAGATGTGGTCTGAGCGAGCTGACTGCCTGCTGGCTTCTGCACACAGGGCTTGTTGCTCCCACCTCTGTTAGCATCATTTCTTCGTGCCGTGCACAGCGGGCCGACGGTGCGCACACACGGTCTCTCTCCCCCGCTCCTCCTCCCCCGCCTTCCCTCTCTCCTCATCCCTGTGCCTTCTCCAGTGCAGCTCGAATCTCCTCTGCCTGCAGAGCAGACCTCACTTGGATGCTATCGCACGTGATGGCAGTGGGTCTGGCTCTTGCGCCTCTGCCTCGGACTCCAGTAAGACAGAACCTGCATTTACAGGGCGAAGGTGACACGTGTCCAGTGAGACGTCTGCTCCCGCAAGTCCTGCATGGAGAGTGGGCCGAACATCCACCTGTATCCCCTTATTTCTCCAAAGACTAGGCTTGAAGGCATTACATGAAATGCACTTTAAAAGTACATGTTAGTTTTAGGTGGATTTAGAGGCAAAAAATTCAAGTATTTGGTAAAAAAAAAGAGAGAGAGAAGCAGAAGAAACAGTCACTGGTTAATCAATAGAAAAACAAAATATATATGTTATAAACAATATGTACATCATAATGTATACAGTTATTCATATATACATCTATGTATGTATACATCCAAAATATATACCTATTTATGTACATAAGTACATGCACGCATGTATCTCTATTGAAGGAGAGAGAGAGAGAGAATCGTCATGGGGAAGTCATTCTAAATGCACATATATGGACTTTGGGCAGTGATTTGAATGGGCTGTGGGTTTGACAAAATGCAGGCATTAAAAGCCCAAAATAGGCTTCCAACCAAGTCCTCAGAACAGTGGCTTATTCCTGACAAGTAAAGGTCAGTGTGCCACAGAGGGCCTTCGACGCGAATGAGTTATTAAGAAAAATGATGAACAAACACATATTGATGAGCCATGAAAGTGACTGGACCAGCCCTGTGGTCTTGCTGTAAAGAATTAAAAATAAAATGACTGGCATAGCAACAATACATTATAGCAAATGACCAGTATAGCAACAGTGATGATGTTCTTGAGTGTGGACTCGTGTGGATTTAGTTTGAATCGTGATTTTATTTTCATGTCCAGTTACTTTAAGTAGAAATAGGAAAGTAGAACTCTGCTGGTCATCTTAATTGTCCTGCATTTTGGTAGAAAATGCAGTAGAACTTAATCAATGGCTTTATAGCTGCAGCCCCACTTTCTAACTGCGACTGACGTGAGTTTACGTGGCGCTGGTTAACGCTTCACTGAGAGTCATCCTACAAGTGCACAGGGACTACAAGCTTAATTTACTAACCAACCGTTCTCCTTACTGTTCATTTCTCAACTGTTTGCGCTTGAAGACAGTCCTGTCTGAGTTTGAGACTGTGGAATAATGGGAAGCCCCCTAAACCCGCCTTCCCTAAGCTTGGCTCAAATCCAAGCTCTATGGCTTAGGAGTCAAAGGACTTTGACAAGTCACTTCAAAATCCCTAAGACTCAGGTTTTCTCTTTATTACGCAAACAAAAAACACACGCCTTACGTGGTTGCTGGGAGACTAACAGAAATGATGCCTAGTGACCCTTATAAACCTGGAGCCCGGATTGCCCATTTCAGATCAGTCGCCTAGTGAGTCAGAAACATTATTCAGCAGCAAAAAGGAATTGAAAACCAATCTCTCAAATGCTTTGATATTTCAAAAACTATGAAGAGGACCCAAATACCCTAAACATCATACCATTTATTTTAATTCTCTTTCTTCTTTTATTGACTTTCCTAATATCCCAGCTGAGTGTCTTGCTCCGCTAGTCCTTAAAGTTTATTTCTACATCCAGCCCACAGCCACTTTTCTCCTCCGTTTCTTCTCCCCCAAACCCACCCCTTTATTATAAAGGTGGATTCTACCGCTTTCCCAATGCAAACCAATTTTGCTGTTTTAGGTGTGTATATGCGTGTGCGTGTGTGTGCACGTGTGTATGTGCATGTGCGCGTGTGTGCATGCATGTGTGTGTGTGTGCGTGTGGTCTGAATGTTTGCGGTGGGCATTTAGACTGTCAATTATGGGATTCCCTAGTGGACTGGAGAAAAAAATGTAATTATACTTTTATGACATATATAAAAACACATGTTCAAAGGCCGTGTGATGTTGTTTGGCAGGAGAGCCCAGCCTGTGCTATGTGTTTGAGGGAGATGGCGTATGTGAGCCCTTCGAGAAGGAAACCAGCCTCGTAGACTGCGGCCTCCACACTCCCGACGGGTACCTGGATCAGTGGGCTACCCAAGCTTACTCTGCTCATGAAGACAAGAACAAGTGTCCCGTTTCCTTGGTAACAGGAGAACCTCATTCCCTGGTAAGTTAAGCCGGAAGAGTCAAGTCTGAGAAAAGTGTGCAATGACATTTTTCTCCTGACTTTGACATCAAATTTGGTCCTTACTGAACTCAGGATAAGATGATGTTAAAGTGAAAAGCTTCTAGACCAGCCATCAAATCTCATCCCCACCCTCAGCCGTGTACCTTCATCAGTTTTCACTGAGGAACCTTTGGCTACGAATGGTTGCTTCAAGGTGTACCAAAGCATCTCAAAATTAACCTTAGAAGCACGCATATCAGAAATGATACTTGGGCTTTGTGTTTGAGAGAATTTATTTTGAAAGAAGAAAAAGAAGCAGGAAACAGTCAGAATGCCGGGATCACACTACCAGATCCACCAGTATTGCTATTATTATTGCTAAGTGAGGTTTGATGAGTGACTTGACCTCTCTGGGCCCCGATTTTCTCATACACGAAATGGGTACAGTGATCCTTTTACATTCAGCTCAGTGGTTTGCTACAAAGATCAAATAAAAATTTAAAAATGTATTAAAGAGCAAAGGATAATTTGAGTTAAAGGATTCTTATTCCTGAAAGACTATAGAGTTAGTACTAGAAACAAATGCTTTGCTATACAATTTTTCTAGAATAGCTATCTGAATAAGTAGAAGATCCTCTGGGGACTCTAAGACTGACTTCTGTGAGTTATAGTTGAACACTGAAAAGCGGATTGTGAGCTTGGCTGTTGGGTGTTACTCCAGTTGTGTCCATTGCCAAATAAACTCTTCCATTCCTCATATCAATGGGCAACATAGTCCTTTCAAGAGAAGTGAGATTTAGTCAGATATTTTAGGCCAGGGTGCAATCACTGGATTTTAGGCTTGAGGAGACATCCCCAGCAGACTGAGGGACCAGCCAAGGTTGGTGCTTCAGTTCCCAAAAACTCATCAAGAACGAAAGTGTCTTCTGGGGCCCAGTTTTTTGCATCCTTTCTTTGTAATTTTCTTCCTCCTGCTGGTAAGATGACTCCTTTCTTCAAGGCACGAAGTAGGCATTTCAAGCAGGAAGAAGGAAAATGGGTGCGTGGTAGCTGCGTCTTTCTTTTATTGGGAAAATGCAGCTTTTCTGGAAGGTCAACACTGTAGACTTCCACCGACATCTTATTGGTCAGGTCCTGGTCCCTTAATCACCTTTAGTTGTAAGGGACCCTGAGGAGATGAGCATTTAGACTGAGATACACTTTCCCCTGGAACAAAAGTGACGGTTGTTCATTTGAAAGTAAGGTGACGTGGATATGAGGCTAGTCTGTCTTCCCTAAGTGAAGTGGAAGAAGGTCCCAGAGTTCCTCATCTCTGGCTCCTTGACCCTCTGAACGCTCCTCAGTTCCCTGACTCGGTAGCCTCTCTCCTGGGGCCAGTAGGTTCTGCAAGGTACAGATCTAACCCTTGTCCTGCGCAGACTTCCATGGCTAGTCCCAGAAACAGTTTCTGGAATGTCAGGACTATTCTTTAGGCAAGACCCCCTGGTTGACGGTGGGCCCAGAGATGACGTGCATGTTTTTTTACCCAGGCACATTCTATCTGGAGGCTCACAGAGTGCACGGAGACATTCCTGTGCAATGAGAACAGTTTGTTTGCCAACAGTGCAATCACTGGCCACTCAGAAAAGAGCAAAACTTTGGCTTTGAGCTGGAGAGCTTCCTGGTCTTATCTCTCACACGCCACATTTAATTTCTGGTTGAAATTGCATTTCAGATGTGCACGTCTTACCATCCAGATTTACCGGAGCGCCGTCCCCTTCCTGGCTGGTTCCCCTGTGTCCCCAGTGGGAATAGATCTCGGGATGAAAGCAGTGAGCAGCAAGAAGGTAGCCTGCAGAGAGAGGACAAGGTTTGGCTCAAAGTAAGTGGCCCAAATGTTTTCGTGTGAAGGCTGTGCATAGACCGTGCATGTGTCTGTGTACATGGATGTGTACGTGTGCGTGTGTTTACAGATGATTCATTGGAATGGCTTGCCAGAAAATTTCCTTTTGTCATCTCCAAGTGTTTACTAATTCGTTTTCACCTCTTTTTGAAATTTGGGCTTTTTTTTTAAATGAGTAATCAGTTTATCGAAGTGTAACACACACACACACACAGGAACATGCCAAAATATAACACACACAGATGAATGAATTTTTACAAAGTGTACACTCTGACCACCACCCAGGTCAAGAAACAGAACATTAACATCACCCCAAAACGCTTCTCTCATTAGTCTCAGCTATTGCACCACAGGGGGGTTACTGTTTGTACTTCTGGCACACGGATGGGTTCGGTCTGGTCCTGCACTTCTCGTGGGACCCTTCACAGTCTGCACTTCTGCACTGTTGTGTTCTGAAGCATGGAAACACCACACTTTACCCGCCCAGACTGATGAGCACGCGGATTATCTCCTGTTCTCTGTTATGTCACACAGAGTTCTGCCGCAACCCTTTCTGTACACTTCTTTTGGTGAATGTACACAAGTAGATGGGTATATTTGAAAACTGCTGGATCATAGGTAATTCCATTTTTAATTTTTTGAGGAAACTCCATACTGTTTCACAGTGTCTGCACTAATTTGTAGTTCCACCAACAGTGCACTAGGTTCCCTTTTCTCCACATTCCTACCAACTCTTGTTCTTTGTTGATTAATTGATGGTAGCCATTCGGGCAGACGTGAGGTGATATCTGATTGCGGTTTTAATTTGTATCCCTCTGATGATGAGTGGCATTGAGCAATTTTTTATATGTTGATTGGTCCTCTTTGGAGAAGTGTCTATTCAGGTCCTTTGCCCACTTTTTAATTGGATTGTTTGTTTTTTAGGTGTTGAGTTGTATAAATTCTTTATAAATTTTCAGTGTTAACCCCTTATCAGATGTATGATTGATGAATATATTCTCCCATGCAGTGGGTTGTCATCTTTGGTTTACTTTGCAGTACAAAAGTTTTTTTGTTTGATGTAGTCCCATTTGTTTATTTTTTCTTGTGTTTCCCTTGCCCAAGGAGATAGATCAGAAAAAAATATTTCTATGAGAAATGTCTGAGATTTTACTGCCTATGTTTTCTTCTAGGATTTTTATTGTTTTGAGTCTTACATTTAAGTCTTTATTTTATTTTGAGTTTATCCCTATGTATGATGTAAGAAGGTGGTCTAGTTTCATTTTATTGCACGTATCTGTCAAATTTTTCCAACACCATTTATTGAATAGAATTCAATAAATGTGTGTTCTTGCCTCCTTTGTTGAATAGCAACTGACCATAAAGGCATGGTTTTATTTCTGAGCTCTCAATTCTGTTCCATTAATCTATAGGTCTGTTCTTATGCCAGTACCATGCTGTTTTGATTACTATGGTCTTGTAGTACAGTTTGATATCAGTAGTGTGATTCCTACATCTTTATTCTTCTTTCTCAAGATTGATGAGGCTATTTCCAGTCTTTTGTGGTTCTATATAAATTTTTTAAATATTTGTTCTAGTTCTATGAAATACACCATTGGTAACTTAATAGGAATTGCAATGAATTCATAGATTGCTTTGGGTAGTATGGACCTTTTAATGATGTTAATTCTTTCTATCCACAAACATGGCATTTGTATCTTCTTCAGTTTTTTTCTTCAGTGTCTTATAATTTTCCAAGTACAGGTCTTTTGCATCCTTTGTTAAGTTTATTCTAAGGTATTCTTTTATTATTATTTTTGATGCAATTGTAAATGGGATTGTTTTCTTAGTTTTCCTATCTGATAGTTCATTATTGGTGTGTAAAAAAGCAACTGATTTTTGGATATTTATTTTGTACCCTGTTACTTTAATTAACTAACTTACCAGTTCTAGTAGCTGTTTGGTGGAATTTTTGGGGTTCTCTATATGCAATTGCATGCCATCTGCAAATAATGACAGTTGTACTTCTTCCTTTCCAATTTTGATGCCTTTTATTTCTTCTTCTTGTCTGATTGCTGTGGCTAGGACTTCCAGTACTGTGTTGAGTAAGAGTAGTGAAAGCGGACATCTCTGTCTTATTGCTGATGTTAAGGGGGATGCTTGTAGTTTTTGCCCATTGAGTATGATGTTGGCTGTGTATTTGTATAACTTTTACTATGTAAATATACCTGGTAGAGCATGTCCCCCTTCACATTTTACACATTAAAAAATTGCATTTGCTATTTATTATTTATGAACACTTATTTTCCATATAAATTTTGAGTAAGCCTTAGATCATTTCTTCTGACTCTTGAAAAGCATACTGGTATATATGAGCTGATATCATCAAACACTTGGTTTTCATCAGTTGACATAATCATATGATTTTTCTCCTTTGATCCATCATTATGTTGAATCACATTGTTTTATTTTTTAAATAGCAAATCATTTTTGCTTTCATTATGTTCACTTACTTGTTTGTGGTTTATTTAAAATATATTCTTGACTTTTATTGATTAATCTTTTGTTTTGAATTTTTGCATTTGTATCTTTATGTGGAATTAGTTTCTATTTTTTTTTTTTTTTTTGACTATTCAGATTATACAAGCCATATAAAATTGGGCACCCTCCCTTTTTTTAAATTTAATTTTCCAAAACCACTCGTATAAAATAGGAATTATCTGTACCTTCAAAATTTGGCAGAATTTACTTGTAAAACCAGTGGGGTCTGGGGCTTCTTTGAGAAAACATTTATGATTGTCAAATAAATGACTTTGATCTTTTAAATTAAAATAGTCTATATTTTATTTCTAATTCTGGACTATTTGATATTTCTATAAATGTATGAATTTCTTCCACATGTTCAAATTTAGTGCTGATCGTTGTTCATCATGTATTTGATGATGTCTCATCTCTGTTTTAGTTATAGTTATCAATCCCTTTCCAATATATGTTTTTGAACTTCCTTTTTGTTTCTTGAGCTTCCTTTATTTCCCCCTTGATGCCTGGGATTTCTTCAAAACTAACTTTCCATTTTCTTTTATCATTCTAGTTCTCTAATTCATTTCTATTCTTGCCTTTATTATTTCTTCTCTTAGAGTGTGTCTGGATTTATACCAACATTCTTTACTAGCTTCTTGTGTTGAAATTTGAATGATTTGTCTTCACTGCTCCATAATTTCCTCCCTAAGTACTACTTTAATTGTAGCCCATAAATGTTGACATACAGGACTTTCATTGTCAGTCTGCCCTAAGTATTTTGAAATACCTCCTAATTTCTTTTTATTTTTATTTATTTATTTATTTATTTTTATTTAGTTTTTGGTACGTGCCCCTAGCAGGAACTGAACCCGGGACTCTCTGGTCCGCAGGCTAATGCTCCAACCACTGAGCCAAACCGGCTGGGGCCCTCATCATTTCTTTTTAAAATCATGAATTTTTACTACATTTTGTTTGTCTCTAGCACCGATTTTTCAGAACATAACAACTTTATTGTTGTGCCAGCTGTGTGTCATTATTAGAGGTTTTCTTTCTCTTTTTCCTCTTGGTCCTACATTTTCTCAGGAAGCACTTACAGAGTGCGCCTCTCTTCATTCGGAAATTAAGGACCAGCTCGTACCAGAAGTGTGTATTCTCTACTAGTTGGTCAAAAAGTGTCTACCACGCTCAACATTTTTCTCTCTCGTTTGTTTAAAATTACCTGAAAATCCTTTCGTCCATTTCTTTCTTCTTTTTTACTAGTGTTCTCTGGTCTTCTTTATTTGATCTGTTCATTTCTTTTTATGGCACATTCTTATCTTTCCAACTTTGCATTGCAGAAAAAAATGTATTTCAGATAAACATTGAATACATTTTAGGTATAAATAAGTCCTACTCTAGTCTGGCCGGTGTGGCTCAGTGGTTGAGCATCAACCCATGCACCGAGAGGTCGCCGGTTTGGTTCCTGGTCAGGACACATGCCCAGGTTGCGGGCCCGATCCCTGGTGCAAGGCATGCAGGAAGCGGCCAATCGATGTTCTCTCTCATCGATGTTTCTCTCTCTCTCTCCCTCTCCTTTCTTCTCTCTCTAAAATCAATAAAGGGAAAAAATTAAAAAACAAAAAGTCCTACTCTATATTCAAGAAACACTTACGCTAAAAAGTGTTTGCTGTTACTCTGATACTCAGATTTAAGTGGCTATCCTTTTTGTTTTCGCTAAATTAGGCAACTCTTCTAAACTTTTAAAAATTTAATCAGTCAGGTGTCAATTCTCTATTTAAAGATGACTCTACCATCTAGAAAACTGTCCAGATGTCATAGTTTATCAAAAAAGAGCTCATGTGTAGAAGGCACCAAGTCCAATCATGACTGAATTTTTTACTTTGTTTGTAGGGAAGTTGACAAGACCCTTTGTTTGAGCCTATTTACGTTTGTATAGAATTCTAGCATTAATTTTCTGAATTTTCAGTCTGCCATAGATAAAGAGCAACAAATTAGTAGAGCATTTAGAAACTGGGAGGACATATGTACTTATAGGAACAGTATTTTTTTTCCCCAATTTTTATTAATTTATTTTTGTTATAGATGTTTCTCCTTTCCCCTCCATACACCCTCCTCCCTACCCCGTACCCCTATCCCACCCCCAGAGGAACAGTATTTTAAGCCCTGTCTCTGCCCCTAGCCAGTCAAGTGACCCTACATATATAACCTTTTTGAACACCCTTTTTCTTAGCTTTAAAATGAGGTGTTTGGACAAGATGATTCCTTCCAGGCCTGCATTTTATTTTAAGCTTGATGGTACATTTTAAAAATGAGATAAACAAATATTATTAATAAGAGAAGCAGTCTTAGAGTGTCAGATGCTAAGGGCAAAGATAATTATAGCCACTGATGCTTTTAGAGTCTGGTTACTCAAAGTACAGTTGGCATCTAAGAGTGTTCACGGCACCTGAGAGCCAGGTAGAAATGTAGAATGTCAACTA